ACTTTTTTGTTTTATAAAATAAAATATTGATTCTTTTATGCTGGAATCAATTGTTCCAGGAAAATTGGAATTTCATTTCATCCTCATATTTGATAAAAATGTTAACTTTTCAATCTTTTTTCAAATTTCGATCACCATTATCCATATACCATTGTACGTGAAAAGAGTCTTACATATCAGTATTCTACAACATGTAGTTACTAGCATCATCCATGTGTAGGTGGCAAAACGTTTTACACCTAGGGTAGGATCAGCATTTTTTATCTGGCCCTTACGGACAAATTAAGGATAGGGAGAGTTTAATTCTTTGTTATGCTATGTCATTCGCATGAAACACAATGAGTACTTCTTATTTTGAACTCACATTTTGTAATGTATAATATTAATACAGATCAGAGTAGAATTTGCAACTCATAACAAAAAAAGACGTATTCAAAGGAGCACAAAAACCTTTGCGTTCATTCAATATTGTCCTTCAAATATAGCCCATCGGAGCCAATATTTTTGGCTAATATTTCGGTAACTAGCACACCTTACACATTTTTAAGACAATCTTGAAGATAATCTGATAATAACCAAGTTATAACTGGCTCTTACTTTCAGCGAGAATCCACCAAGCTCAAATTCTATAACCTGGGACTGGGTCTGAACTCAGTCAACAGAAAGCTTTCAGATCCAGACGTAGGCCTAGAGTCGATCGAGTTCTGAGCCTATTTGATGAGCTCCACCTGGGAAAGACGACTTTTTGATCTGTACTAGTGAAGGCCACAATAAGGGCGAGGCAGTATTCACAGAAAATGAATTGCCTTCAGAGTTTGCTCCGCGTATTGAAAACATCTGATTGGCATCTAAGATTGATCGCTAAAGGAGAAAAAACTTTGGGCAGCGTTCATCAGATCAGATTCTAAACATCTTGTACGATTGGTCTTCACTTGCAACAAAGGAGCATAACGTCAACTCATTGCCAACATATGTGACGACACTTAGTCATATGAAGCTCAATTTTTCTGCGAAAAGTCTCAGTAGCTGCTGCCGACGACGGCGAAAAGTTTTCATTTTTGTACAAAGTTTGGAGACACTAAACAAGTATGTTAATCTGACGGATGGAGAAGTAAACGTTTGAGCCTCTTTTAGCCTATGAAGCTTGAATCTGAGATAAACTTTGGCTGGCTCAGATCTCATGACTCCGCTGCCTATGGTTGATAGTAGAGGTGTAAGCCGTATGACTGAGCCGCTGCCACAGCCACCAAATCATAGATAATTTTAAGAATTTTTCAGCAGCCGCCACTGTGAAAAAGCAAGTTTATCCGCTTGGCCACCGCCACGAACGAAAATTTTATGATAGTATAAGTCACCGCGACTGACATCCAAACATGTGAGATCGAACGTGTTTCCGTTATTTTTCATTAGTTGAATTTCTAACCACAGAGATTGAAATAAAGAGGGATTTCTTATTCCCGAAAGAATACTTCATTTTTACACGTAGCAGCAGCCGCCGCCGTAGAAGGACTTATATATATCAGCCGGCGCCGCCGCTGTAGAGCCTGCAAAACCGAATCATTAACCGCTGGAAATTCTCAAAAATTGAAACTTTTGGTCCACCGCCGCCATCGGTCGACCCTTCGACTTACAACTCTAGTCTATAGTAGATAAAATGTAAACTGATTTTGTAACAGTGCGCCATATGTTAAGAGCAAACGAAAATTTAACAGTAATATCAAATTTTTAAGTTGAATGAAGTCTGTCGCAGTGTTTTTATCTGTCCAATCTAGATGCATCCGAGCCTAACCAGATCTAATGGTTTCGTTACTAATGCACTGATGTACACACATGTAAATCGATGCATGCAACAATTGCAACGCTTCGAAATTTCCAACAATTATTTGCGACAACGTCAGCAAACGCTTTCATCTTTACATTAATGGCTTTTTTCCCTCGCTTGGCTTTGTTGATACTGTGGTAGATTCTGTTTTGTAACCTGATAGGTTTCATTGGATTTTTCTCATAGTGTACGCCGCGTTATTCTTTTCAACATACTATGCAATGGAGATTCGCTTTGCCTGCAATTGAGTGCCTATACAACCTTTTTTCTGTGCACTGACTCACTATTATTTAGCATTAGAGAAAATCATTTAAATATTTATATAATTAATTGTTACTCTTCGTCTTCATTAAATTTATTTTCAAACTTAATGATGTTTTCTTAGCGTCAACAAATGTATATAATATGTAAATGCGTAGTAGCGATTCACTTGGTGACATAGTTTATTTTTTCTTTTCTTCAAAAAGTATTACTACTGAGAGGACGAAAAATACAACGTCTTAAATTTTCAAATTCTTTTATTGCCTCTCAGTTGTAACGAAAAGAACACAAAGTAAAGTGCATAGTGCGCGTGCATGCTTTAAAATTCTTTATCAATATTTTTTTTACGGAGTTAGCATTGTTAACGAAACATAACTGATTTGAAAAAAAAAATTTATTGAAATCAAAAAAGAAGAAGAATAAAAATTATTTATACAAAACATATTCTACACCAGATTCAATCATAGATTTCGTAAGTAGAGATTATTTTTTGATAATACATATTTGTATCTACGCTAAATGAAATGCGTAGAACAATTCAAAATAAAAGTATTTATTGTACCCTTTTTTCATCAAACCAAACAGTCAAATGTGGGAAAACATAATCGTCAAGCGAAAGTTTAAAACTGAGACCTTTTTTACTGTAGAATTGAACGACTTAGAAATAATTAAAACAAAACATCTAAATAATATATCGAATACTCTTCATCAAGAACTTGTCACTGGCAGTTTTTCAACTTCAACGGCACCATACCCTCCAAGTTTCACTTCAGTAAAAATGCCAGATAACTTTTCACAATTTGTCTGTCCTAACAAGGCTAGCTCCTTGCACCAAGGAATACAAACATGCAAAGCAATGTTACAAAAACAAGGTGTACATTCTACTATAAGTATGGCATCTGCTGGATTCAAGTATATCGGTAAACAAGATACAGTCCGTTGTGATATTTGTCAACTAGAAGTATCTGGATGGACTTTGGACATGAAACCATTTACTATTCATGCACAACGAAGCCCTAAATGTACATTTGTCCGCTCAATTCTATTCGACGCAAGAGCTCCTAAACCAGCAATGGTGGATCTTCTTGAAATGAATTCGACCTTAACAAATGATAAAAAGTCATCCAAATGTCAGAAAATCGAAGCAACACAAGAAAATTGCCAGCCACATAGACTTATCGAAATTGATAGACTTAAACAAATACGAAAGCGAACATTTTCACATTGGCCACATCGAGCATCACCTTCAAGTCAACAAATGATCAAAGCTGGGTTTTTCAGTTGTAATGTTGGAGATCGTGTCATTTGTTTGCATTGTAATATTATTTGCCATGAATGGACTTCAAACACTGATGATCCATATGAAGTACACAAAACACTGTCTCCTCAATGTCCATATGTCATTGCAATGTTAAACAGTCAAACAAAATCATCAAATCATATTCTTAATCAAGAACTGATCCAAGATAACTCTATAGGGATGGCAAATAACAATATATATCAGAGTAATGAAGTTCTTTATCCTGGTGTATGCCATACAAATTATATTGAAATCTCTAGACGTCGAGATTCTTTTGAAGAATGGCCGAATAACAATTCTCCATCTGTTGATGATTTGGTCAATGCTGGCTTTTTTTATACAGGCAATAAAGCTATTGTAACATGTTTTTATTGTAATGGTTCATTGGAGGATTTAAGAGCAAACGATAATCCATTCACTGAACATACTCGATTGTTTTCACATTGTGCATTTGCCAAAGAGCTGTGTGGTGCAGAACTATACCGAGAAATTCAACAAGTCGAAGGAAGTATAATTTATTTGATAAAGAAATACGAAAGAAATTGATATTGTTTTATTTTTAGGACGTGACAATGACAACGATGAAGTCACTTTCTCATCTCATATTAGAAGTCGACTTGATTTGCCTATCTCAAAAAATTTACTTGCTCGAGGTTTTCCATTATCGATCATCAAACGTTGCTATAAAGCTCAATTTGACTTAAAACGTAAGATAGTTGTTTTTTTTCCAGAGGACATAAATGAAATTTAATTTACTTCCTATGTTAGATGAAGATTTTGTCAGTGATTCTGATCTTCTAGTGGCTTGTATGATTCTTCAAAAACAAATCGAACATATTGACGAAGAGATTATCATTCCACATGTAAAAATGAATCAGATTCGTGAACAACAGGAAATAGGTATTCGTAGTTCAACTAATATATAATCGACAATTCAGTTTCATAATTTTGTAGAAAACTTGGCTCATGGAAAATTATTAACGAACTCTTGGGATGATATTGTTGTTGAAACGGAAACCTCATCACAACATATCAGAAGCGAAACGAATTTAGACGATCGGAACAGTGAATTTCCACTACAACCGAAGTCTGGTGTTGTATGTTTGGAAGAAGAGAAGTGTGTTACCTACATATCTTATGGTCATTTAGTTATGTGTAATTTGTGTGCTCGTTTGCTTCAATCGTGTCCGATATGTAGAACGAAAATTGAAGCTTTTGTTCGCATATATCAATGAACATGAACGATTAACGAAGACTTCTGAGAGAAAGATAAACAGTTGCTTTTTATTTGGTTGAATATTGAATTAAAATTAGAATTTATATATTCTTTTGATTGAATATAAATCGTGCATATCGAAAGTTAGATTGGGAATTCAGTAATATGATCATTAGTTGACTTCAAAGGTTTACAGGAACGAACCTTTCTAGACTTTTGTTAATCTCACCATGATATCCTTATAGAGTCTATATAATCTGAAATGGTGAATATCAATTTGAGTGCTTCCACCTTAGTTAATTAAATGGAATACCTGACATTTTAAACTATTCGCCGGCATATTCATGCCTTTTTATTGATAACTTTCAGTTT